TTGTCCTCCCCTTTGAGACTCTGTGTTGAGATACTCGAACCTACTAAGAGATACTGCCTTAAAAGAAGAGAAAGCAACTGCGATTTATAATTTCTGAATTATTCCTAAGGAAAGGAAAATGAGGAAATTTGTCCCAAAATAAATATTTAGTATCTTAAATTGTTTTTCCTTCCCCCCGAGGCCAGCTGTTAATTTGATGGTGTCTTACAATTGAGAAAATAACTGGAATAACTTTGTTGTGGAAGCTCAGATCTTTCTCAGAGGCGGTGGCTGGCTGACTTCAGACCAGATATAGTTGTTCCATAAAAACCACAAATGTTGTTCGCAGGAGTGTAATTTCTGAATGCTGTGAACATCCTTTAATCATCCATACTTCATCTTCTGGGCATGGCAAGGCACATCACATTAGTGAATCTGACACCACCAGAATTACACAGTGCTTTGTTTTCTCCATTACTCTGAGAGTTTTGAGGATATAAACAAGAATATAAAGACCTTGGGAAAAAATGATGGGAATTACTGCTCTGTTTCATGCCATTTAGACACTGACAGCTCTGTCTTAAAATGAATGCAGATATTATTCCAGCCTGAAAATTTGTCAGAGTTCTGCATTAATCTCTCTGAATTTCATTGTGGGGAGAAGACTTGATTGTTCTGAGGAGTTTTGAATTCGTATTATACTTCAGAATATCTTTCAGTCATCTCTTTGGGCTTGCACTGGTTGCAGAGATCCCTGTAAGTATTCTACCTGGAAACAGGAGGAAGAAAAAGATGTACTAAGATGAAAACCTCCAGAGATTCTTTAAGAGGGACAGGAAAGTTCTGGAAATAGTTTAATGAAGAATCAATTTAATTTGACAAGAACAGAGCCTCCTGAAGCTCAACCCTGAGCATAACACAGGAAACAACGCTAAGGATCAAAACACACTTATCCTTTGTGGAGCTCCATCCTGCAGCTTCCCAATGGGACTGCTGACAATCGTCGTCCACAAAGACCAGTATTTTTCCACTTATCTTCCCTGGTGTAAGTCATGGATCTCTCATTTGAAAATCTATATTTTAAAAGGCTAAGGCTCTCTCAGCCTACATCAGAAAGAACAGAAAATAGCAAGAGACAAAAATTGGTGCAATAGTGCAAACACTGTTGCTGAAATGCTGTGAATCTCCTCTGTGTTCTTGTCTCTCATACCCTGTTTATTCCTTTGAGAATAGGGCAAGCCAACAGTGCTGTAACCCCACAAGTCACAATAACTACTTCACAGACTTATCTTTCTACACAACTCCTTTTTATTTCCACTATTCTACTATAATAGGGAGGAATGCCTAATATGCCTGGGCAGTCAAGATTTTCACTTGAACTAGTCAACGGTGAGAATTTTTATAGTGCTCTAGTCTCTATGACAGTACTAATTTTTTTAAAAATATTACTACTACCATGACCTTGCTTTACTCATTGTAATGCTAATTTGAAATGCTTGGGAATGGGAGGGGGCTACATGTTGCTGGCCCTGTTAGATGGAGGAAGAACAAGCTGCACCAGCAGGAAGAGTGGCAAACTAGTTCAAAATCTTTGAGGTTTATCTACAAAAGGAGGCAAGAAGGTTTTCAGCATTCCATATCCCATGTCTACCTCAGCAAGAGCTAAGTCCACACAAGGCTTCCAGGAGCTTCCAGTGGAGGACTGCTCCTTGCTACGGGCTCCACAAAACTGCAGTTGAAATTGAATCTTTCATACCGCACAATGTCAGAAGTAAGGGAAAAACTGCTATATGAAAGATGAAGGGGCTAGAAAATGCCTGAAGAAAGCAGGTAATCTCTCCACTAGAACAACAAAGTGATAAAAATACAATAAGATCTCTTGAAGCTTTTCCAGAAGCATTTCTATCTAATTACTGAGCCATTACTGACTTGGGTCTCATTTGCAAACACTGTGGTGCCCACAGAGTAGATCAATTATTCAGTTTCAATTATCAGTTTCTCATTAGTAGAGTAATCCCTCTAGTCATTAGCTGTATTTTTCTTTATCTCAGCTTCTTTATCTCAAGTATTTGGTATTAAAATTACTAGCCTTGTGAAATAAGAAAAAAATGAGAACTACAGATCTGATATGCAAGGCTATGTTAAAAGATTAGGCAGCAAAGTTTTATTTTATTTCTAGGCTTTTTAACAGTGAACATAATGTGTTGTTCACAGACAACTCTTCTTCTGCAGGTCGTTCTCAAAAAAGAAGACACGCCTTCCTACAAAATCTGTTTCAGTGACAGTATAATTAATGCAGTTGCTAATTCATATACAAGATGCAAATAATCATCTTTACAACAGTTTTCAATACATATATACAAATATTTGTGCATGTGTTCCTGCTCTTTTTCCTGCTCTTTTTGTTCAAGTGCCCCAAACCTTCTTTTTTTTTTTTTTTTTTTTGCTCCTTCTTATATGGCCATCTAGGCTCACATTTTTCTCTTCCATGATTTCAGTTCCAGATAAATCTTGTAGAGAGAGACAGAGAGAGAGAGAGACAGAGAATTAAATAACCAGAAAACAGAAAAAAGAAAAAAAAAAGGAAAAATTTGAATTAAGATGTGAAAGGGTTTGAGTTACCGATTTACACGAGTAGAACAATCAAATCTTTGCAGAAAAATATATGTGAGTAAAGATGCATTATGATATCTCCTAGAAATGACACTTCGGACTTTCTCACACACTGTATTCAGATTCAGGGAAAATGTGGGTGTCTTGATGTTGGGGATGAAATTTCTCTTTTGCTCCTCCTGTCTTTTCTCTTGGTTATTTAGCAGAACCTTCTTTCTTCTTTGCAAATGATATGGATTTGTTGATATCCTCATAAATATGTATTCACTGTAAGTACTTTTCCCTTGACATCGCATATTTAAGATTGGCTGTGAAACTTTAGGCAGAAAAAAAAAGCAGGAGCTACTGAGGTGGAAACACATTTATTATTTTGCAGATTAAATACCATGAACTTCACCTCTGAGTGTGGCCATAAATATGAGGTATCTGTGACTCCAAAATTCCTTGCACACTCTTCAGTATTTCCATATATATATATTTGAGGTAGGAGCCACACACACAAGACTGTCAAGCTCAGAAGATGCACAGGAAGAAACTGGATAAATGCAGCACATTACAGGAAGTCACAAGTAGCCGTCTCAAAATGGACTCAATAAAGCAGAGTATGGAGCAGGTGTAGAAAAATACGAACTATAAAGTCTTCATTTTCGCTGTTAATCAGCACCAAAAACAGAATACACTTTCTAATGATGTTGGCAGACACGTTGGTTTGGTCTGAACACATTACCTTGCTACCTCCTTTGAGTGTACTCTCGATCCATACTTGACTACAGACCAAAAAGACGAGATCCCAGCTCCTCTTCTCCCCAGATTTGTATCTCAATTCTAGACATCAGTTCACTGCTGAGTCAAACACATGCAAATTGTGTTTGGAAGAAGAAAGTGAAAAATAAGGCCTTTGTTCATCAAAGCAATTAAGTCAGTATGTACCTGAAGAGGTGAGGCCAGGCCAACTAACTCAGCTATACTCAGCTGTGCCTAACAGTGAAGGGCACTGGCTTGGCCAACTTCCACATGCTGATTTCTTCGGGATCAGAGTGTATTCATCCGCCCAGGCCATCTCTAGGAGGCCTGGAAGTTGCCTGCAGCTGTGAAGCTCTGAGCCACAGGTGACTGCTTATGGCAATTCTATAGAGCCCGTTGCCATCGCAACCTAGGTGAGCTGATGCTCAGCACCCCGCTGTCTGTCCTGTGGCTATGTGGCTCTAATGAAGCCTCTGAGAGCTTGTCATTGACTTCACTGGGGTCAAGATTTCACTCCAAAGATGGATCTAGCCCCAAGGCACTGGATACAGATTTTTAATGAAATTTTACAGGACAAGAGTTCTTGCTGTGGCTCAAATTTTAATTTAAACCACTTCAGATAATTTACCTCTGCTGTCAGGAAGTATCATTCTTAACCCCAAGATAAAGATCTTACTTCCATTTAGGTGCTATACTATGTGCCAGCATTGTATTTTCAATTATCAAGTGCATTTTCACTGCTTCTCTTGCACAGGATATGTACTATGCAGTAAGGAGGAACAAAGTATGATGTTTTAATTACTCTTTTGCTGTTCTATTTTTTTAACCTCCAGATGGTCTCTGTGACCGGTGATCTTTTCTCTAGTCTATATATTTCCTGCTTTAATTAGCTTACTCAACTGGGAGAACATCTGAGAGACACATGATTGGATAAAATAAAAAATTGTTATTAGCACAATTGCTTTCACAAAATTAGAAGCAGATAAATAGTTGGGGCCATAATTGAAAGCCCTTACTAGAAGACAAGCTGATTGGTGTTGTGACAAAACCTGAGAGATTCCCAGGCTTGAGCTAATTTTGCATGAGCCAGGACTGCAGGAGCAAGGCAATGACTCTGTTAGCATGATCAGAGCTGGGTAACAGATCTGCCATGCATATTTATCAGCTGAGGGCTGGCTCAGGTTGTGCCGCTCTCTGATAGGACTGAACTATTGCTATTGCTCTGATTTACCACTTCCTAAGAAAGAACACAGCAAACAGATTTTTGCAGGGGGAGAGGAGGGGTTGAAAAAAGTTATATCCCTCTTCATCCTTACCCTTCTCCATCATGCATGCTTGTGAGAAATGGCAATTGGGCGGCCCAAACATCTGTCCTTGGGGGGCTTTGCTGGGAAATGCCAAGCAGTTGCTGACAAGATCTGACACAAAAGTGGGGATCTGACACAAGTTTGTTCAGAAAGGCAGTCTGGAGCAAGACTGAGGCTCTTCCCTCTTGTACCAAATTCAAAGCTTTTTGCTGCTGGATGAAAGATCTGAGCAAGGTCAATTCTGAGAATCTGATTGCTTCGTGCCTGGCTATCATTAACTGGTGAATGGGCACGCCTCGTTTTGATGCAGCCATAATAATTTTATTTGAGTGTAAAGATAGAAAGAAGGATACTTACGGGATCCCTTTTCACAAGGCCTGGGTTAGGAACAACGATGATGAGGTGGGCAATGGTAAACATGGAGTTCAGCACGTAAGAAAAAAACAAATTCTTATGCAGTGTTATCCTTTGACAACTGAGACTCCTGAAAAATATGGAGCACACGTTGTAAATTATTATTTTTCTTCTGAAGTCACTTTAACAAGCTCTTTCTGGCAATAATTTCTCAAGAATGCCTTTTGGCAAGGCGTAATCGGAAAACACATGCCTTGCATTGCAGCCGTAACCTCTGACAAATTTTTTTGCTTTGTTTTTACACCTGTTTAGTAGCACATGCTTTTTAGCCATGTTGCAAAGAGCCATCCAGCTACATTCTCATCCCTTGATGCTTTTCATTATTTCATGGTAATCGAGATATTAAGTGCTGAAGCAGAACCCTGAGAATTGTTAGATACACAAGTAGCAAAAATTAGAACCACTGCTTGATAATAAACTGTTCCTTGGAGACTCAAATTCTCAAATATTCTGATGAATATTATTTCCTGCTTTAGGAATTGTTGGTGAGAACATTGTGTAGGAATCCCCTTAAATTTCAGGGGGATTAGGGTTGGTATCCTGCATGCCTCTGACACCAGCTGAAGAGGTTGTTTTCCTGCCCAGAGGGAGCAGCAGCATGGGGAGGGTGGTGAATATCTGCTATGGAGGGTTTCAGAATTTCCCAAGGTTACAAAATTCTTGCACAGCTAAATCATGACTTCAGTTTCTATCTTGAACCATCTGTCCTTTCCAATTCCTACCAAAAATCTTAGGCCACCCCCTTGGCTACCCCTGAGCAGAGAACACCTCCAGAGCTGATTACAGAAAAGTGGTCCTGAAGATGACAGATAATGATGTTTGCCCTCACTGATCACTGAAATAAAGCTGGTGAAAACTGCAGGTAAAGGAACAGCTAAGACAAGCAAATATTTCTTCCTGCTGATGCATGTAAGTCTTTCACAGTCTGGAGCTGTGCACTGGCTGTGAGTTTTAGCTGCTCTGTACATGGAGGTTAATGCAGAATGCACTTTTTCTAAAAACAGAGAACTGCTTTCTGCTTATCTGTTTGCTTCCTTATTTATTTATGTATGTATTTATTTATTTTCCTCCTTGGTGACCTGCCACATATCTTTAAGTTGTTTTTACACCTTTTCTGTGAGCTACTGGATGGAAATCTTCCTTTAGCTTAGATTGCCTTGCTGGCTATGGTCATCATCATCCTGAAATTCTCACTACTTTTGTTATCTACTTTACCCACCAAGACATCTTCTTTGTTTCAGAATGTCCGTGAGATGGAGGCCCCTGGGGCTAGAATGAAGAGTATCTCTTTACCCTAGTCTGGATTTTATATTATTTTAGCATTAGCTATTGGCAGCTGTTGAATACCAGATATGGGGCTAGGTGCACCTTTAGTTTGACCTCCTGTAGGATAGAATATTGGGGAAAACAGACTATTCTTTGGACTGACCTATTCTACACTGTGCTATTGTGCATATTTTACTTGTATTTGCCCCCATCACAAATCGAGCCTAATGTTCCTCTTCTGCTCCTCTGCACTAGAAGTGTTTGTCTGGTCCTAATTCTTTCCTTCTCTCCATTCTCTATCATTACACTTTGTCTGTGCTACTGGCATCACTTATTTTGGGACACTACCATGTACACTTCACCCTCTGTCTTCTTACAGTTCTGATAACATACATCTCATCCTCAATAAATCAAGATTTGCCCATCACTTAGAGCAGTCTCTTTGGTCATGGCCACAGAGATGCAGATCCTTGTCTCTCCAGCTGCCACTCTATGTGGCTACAAGTATAGATAGTCAGTTTTATGTGATAGTCTCTGCCATACATGTGGAGTTCCACTTTCATTCCTGTCATTCCTCACATTCCTGCTTTTCTTGGCTTTTCCCTGACTTACTTCTCTATAAAATTGGAACTACCCTTCCAAATATTTTGCTCTATCTGCTGTCTAAGCACTTTGCTCTGCTTTTCATCATCCTTCCTTCAGTCTCTTAAACTTTTCTTCCTTGATTACAGCTTTCATGTTAATGATCGAACAGCATCATGAAGTGCATATTTCTCTATTCTCACTTAATTACCTGACCCTTCGTATTTTCCATTAAAATGACAATGGAACCTTCCTGATTTGGTCTGCCTTGAGAGGAAAACTCCTTTTGCCCAATCTTCTCATCTTTCTCTCTTTCTCAGCATCTACACTTATAATGGAAAGTTTGGCTTCACTAATTTTCAGCTGCACTCATGGTCCAACTTGTTATCTTCTATACCTCCACCTTCCTTTTCCTATTTATCTCTTATCTCATTGAAAATTTGCCAGCAATTCTGCCTGGAAACCCTCTTTTTCAATTCCAATCTTATCCATCTACCCATCTTGCCCTGCACATGAACCTGTGCACAGCAGTTTGTGATATTCACTTCCTAGCAAAACCCAAATTCGTTCTACCTGCTGGTTTTGACAGTCACCACTGGTACTCTCCTTCTCTGACCCTCTTTCTGGCTCTTCTCCAGATTCCCTAATCATTCCTTAAAGGTGTCTTTGAAAGATGCCCGTCCTCCACTCAACTTTCTGTACGTTCCCTATTCAGCTTTATTAATCACTATGCAAAAAGGCACGACTAAGCTAATCATCCAGACCTAAAATTCCATCTCTCTTTATGTCATTATGATTCTATCAGTTGTGTCTCTGACTTTCAGTATCTCCTATGATTTGCACATTTGTCTCTCATTTTACTTTTCTTTCTATGCTTCCTACACTTTCTTTAACAGAGATAGGACATCCTATTCACACACAAGCACCCTTATTTTTGAGTTCCTACCCCCAATTTTCTATTGCATTTATGATATTGATTCCCAGGGCATTTTTCGCACTATTTTCTTTCTATTCTGTGAATCTGTCACTGTTCTTCAATCACGGACATTGAGAGCACTGATTTTCACACCCAGTCAGTTATTTTCCATCTCCTGGAGATTTTTTTAGTTTTCAAATAATTATTTTCATGCTTTCTACCACATCCTCCTTGGAGAAAACTCTCAACAAATTTCTACAACTGATCCTTCCATACATTATCCTTCTTCTATTTTCTGTAAAAGCTTTGCCAACAATGGTACTGGCAGGTACATTCACAACACAACATCTATTGTTCTCACAGACATAAACTTACTATACTCTTCAGTTATATTTACAAAAATATCTTTGTTTTAATAATTAAACGGGAAGTGATTTGGAGTCAGGTATCCCTTTTTTCCTTTTTATCATTTTCCATAACAATGGAAGTAGTGTTAAGATGCATGTAATTGTTGGGCACACTGCTTTATGAATATTTGTTTCCTATCATAAATAAATATTGCTTATCAATGCTCACCAACACTGACTCAATATTTCTTTCCAAAAGTACTGTATCTGGCATCTATGATGCCAGATAATTATGAATTTAGATTTTTCAAATTCAAAGGAGAATAACCTCTGGCAGGAAAGACTGCTTATATACGGGAAGAATTTTTCTTCACATTCTGAAACAGAAACCTCTGTGAGCTATTAACTGACATGTCTACGATCAAAGGCTACTGTACAGCTCCGAAACCATCTCTTACATTTGACTGACTGTCTGATTGATAGCTTGCCTTCTGTTGAAGGTCAAATAATCTATCACTGCCATATCCAGATGGGAGAAGACAGCTGAAGGTAACAAGAAGACTGCTCCCATACAGCTTTACTCTTACTTCCTTATTATTTTAGTTTGGTTTCTTCTTTGTCCTCTCATCTTGTAGCAGTTTGTTTTGATCCCTTTTTATACTTCTTCCTGTAATATTTGTGTTACAAATTACTAATCGAAAGGAAAGGATAAGCAGAGGAGAAGGAAAGAGGGAGGCATACTGCTGTCAGGAAGGCTGTTGTCAGATGAATCTTTCAGCATGGCCTGGGAATGTCAGGATTGAGCTGTCAGTGATTCAGAACTAACACTGAGTCAACCTGAACCTGCCTTCCTCACTGCAAGGCCCCAGAGGTATAGAATTACCTTTTTGGACCAATTGGGTTAGTCATTTTAACCAAATCCTGTCCAAACAGCCACAAAGAGCTCTGGAGCCTGGCTAGAAGATTTCAGATCCCAGACTTCTCAATGCACTACTGTAGCTGTGGTTTTGCTCTATTTCTTAGAAGAAATGGGAATTCAGCAGTTCATTAGACAATCTCTAGCTACCTCTATACCCCATTAACATGATATCACAGCCACTCATCAAATTGATCCTCTGGAAATTACCAGCATTAATAACCCATATTTTTTATTCACCCACTTTGAGCCTATAATCTTACAGGTTCCTATTACAGCTTATGTAAAGTCCAACTGTTGCACTTCCTGTTTCATAGGTTTCACATATTACTAAGCATGCTCTTTTCCAAGACACCTTAATCTCATCCATGGTGAACTTGTTCAGGGATCAGCAGCTGAAGTAACTGGGCAGAAGATTTACATAACACTACTGAGACAGTGTTTACTAGAAAACATGCAGTCTGAATATATCCATAGGTCTATGAATCCAAACAAAATATAAAAGTCAGTCCTATCACGTTTCTGCTGTGCTCCAGCCGGTAAAAAATATTTGGAGCCTGACTGAATTCAATCAGAATATCCAGGTCCCCTTGTTCTCTGACTCATGACTTCTCACCTGAGTTATGGATTATCTCAACCTCTCTTCTGAAACTACATTACTTCAGTATTGGTTACTTTATTTTACTCTCATTAAAAATAACTTCGTTCTTCTATTCTGCCATAGAAACACTGTTTTCTGTTTCTCTGCATTTTCATGTGGAGCTACCACTTCCTGACCATCTCCAAGAGGAATTCTGTCCTCTGCCAAAAAGATGCAAAAGGCTCAGCTATTCTCTTGATTTTGTTGAGTGGAATGTATTTGGAATAATTAACCCATAATATTTGACCTGTTAACAGATATATTTCTCAGATTTGTACATGGATTTATCATAAGACATAAGGAGTGCATTTTCAGAAAAGACTGCAAAGGTAATATAAATCAAAGTTGAGGCCAGAAATAGGCTGAGGTCCCTCATGTAAAATTTGAGTTAAATAATGCAGGGTCTTTGAGACTATAATTGCTTTAAGCACTGGAACAAGTATTTGGGGTCTCATGGAGCAACTTTCACAGCAGACTGTTAAAGACAAAGTCAAACTACCCCTTGCTCTCTAAAGGCAGAGGTTCAGCAAGATCATCTTTTTAACCCAATTTTCTACAACTGCTATATACATTTAAGCAGGAGTTTTGTGTTTGCTATGTAATGATGGGTTCTATAAATCTTCGTATTTCTATTTGCGGCCAAAACATGCATCTTAGAAGTTCAGTTAATGAAGTTGATGGTATCTTACAATCCAGCATATAAAGCACTTCATGTTGTACCGAAGTTACTCAGTTATGATGCAACACATTAAATCTACCAAGATACTTAAGAAATGCCATTTAGTGCTACCAAGATACTTAAGAAATGCCATTTAGTCTAGACATACAAAACCTCTGTACTACAGGAGTCATACAAAATGTTTATAACTAAATGGTTGTGACAGAATACGCACTGGGTGTACTTCATTCTGATTACTTGGACTTACTGGTGACAAAATTCCAATGATTACAGAAATACCCTTTGTTTTAAGTTACTGCTACAAGATTAAAGAATAGGAAAAAAAGCCCTTACAGACTTTGAAATTCCAATGTGAAAAACTGCGTTCATGGAGAATGAATCCAGCTTTTTTTTGAAAACAAAGCACATATGAATTCATGATTTGGCATGAGTGGGAAAGTGTAAATTTAGAAACTGTTCATAATTCACAGTTATTATCTTGGTCACTAGGATCTGAAAAAAAATGTATTTGGTGTATTTGTTATACTTGACTACCAATTTGATAGATTAGATGGGTTCGGGGTTTTTTGGATTTCAGTTTTACAGAAATGTCAACCAAATAAAAAGAAATAATTAATTGTGACCTATCTATAAAAGTCATGCTCTTTTGTCAGTCTACTGGGAATGTAATTAAGAAGGTCTAAAAGTACTTTATGCTTTTGGATTACATATATGCCTTTGACCTTCTGAAACAGATTGATGGCTACACAAAATAATATCACATAACTTTCTTTGAAAATGATGATAAAGAAGTGAAAAATTGTATTTTGAATGCTCATCAATGACTTTAAAAAAACTTGGTGCTAGTCTAACACAGGCCTATTTGTGTTCTGACATAATCAACAACTTCAGCTTCAAAAAATTTTTTGCAGGCTCTGAAAAATATACTCTTTATAATAACAACAGTGATGGAATTCAATTGCTATGGTTTACCATTATTGCATAACTACTCTTTCTTCATTGCTGCATAGAAGATTGTGAAAAAAACAGTTTGTATCTAATCAACTCAGAAAACTTCTCTTGTCCTTTTAGATTACCTTACAGCTATGTTCAGATATATTCTGCAGCTGATGAGCACTTCTCTATCTCTGGTCATGAAGTAATGGTCTTACCCTCTGACTGCAAATAATGGATGCACCTTTGCTGAAATCAGTAAGATAATACAATCCCATTCGGGTCATTTTTCCAAAGTATCTGAATGGACATCATAACCCCAGTTTCTGAAGTCCCAGAAGCTGGCAGTTTACAGTAACCTTAAACTGACACACCTTAAGAAGATTGCTTAAAAGTTTGGAAAAGAATATATGTTATGCAAGTCAGCATAGCTCTGGATGCACAGTAGCTCATGGCCCTGTCCAGCAGTTATTCTCTAATATTTTCTCCACAGTAATCTCCCTGTATCATGTTTACACTGCTACTGAGAAATCCTCTTTGGCTAGAGTGTGTTTTAGATATGTCTGGATACCTCAGCGTTTCGTGTGATTTAAAAATAAAGAAATAAATGGAGCCCTTAATCTGCTAGAAATGTACTGGCATTAGTGTCTTTCATTTATCAGCAGTTCCCTGAAGTGAAACCAGACAGTTTGTTCCTCACTACTGATAGTGTCTGAAACCCTGACTAAATGTCTGAGGGCAAATCTGAGCTTCTACTTCTCCCTCGCTGCTGTAATAAACAGTGTGCAAACAAGTTCACAAAAGTACAGTATGCTGAAATGCATACCTGAACTCCCACAGCGTAGCTGCAACACTTTCAGTGAATATCAGTTTAGTCTCCTTGAAAGTTCTGATATAAAACATTACTGTTTTTCCTTTTAATGAAAATGACTGCACACTACTGTTAGATGCATCCCTAGTGATGAGTTCTGTAAGCACCTACATATGTCATGTCAACAGATCAGTCCCTCAGCAACTGATGAGGGTATTCCTGTCCTTTGGGAGATGGGAGGTTTCAAATCACTGCCACGTGAAGTCACTGCTACTTCTACGGGCTGGACATGCTCTCCAAGGAATAACAGGCAACTGGTAAATGAAAGGCCTTAACCAGATTTCCAGTTACACTATTTCCCTATGGATGGCACTTTTACATCACTTTGAATAATCTATCATCATAATTTTGGCTGCACACCATTGGAAGACGTCCCAGTAGAGAGAGAACCCCGTGCAGATGCTTTTTGTCCAATCAGTATCATATAAAAAGGCACTCGGAAGAGCTGGCCATGTTCCCTTCCAAGCTTTTCTTTAATTACAACATGAGATCCCTCATGGAAAGAAGAAAGAGTGTTTGTAAGAAACACTTACTTGAAATAGAAGAAAATTGCCAAGGAAATCAACAGGGATGTTATAGACAAAGCATGGCCAACGATCGCCATATAATAAAGTATGAACGCCATCTGAAATTTAACAAAAAGAAAAGGCAAATATGAACAATTTGCAGGCACCCATTATTTTTTCTCATTGAGGAAGAATCTACAAAATCAATCTATATTGCATTTCTTTTTTTTCACAGCTTCTTTTGCAATATTCTTTTCATAGCAGCAATACATTAAATAGCATAACACAAGGTCTACAGACAAGATAAGTGTTTCTTACGTAAGTTGATCTTTTTTCTGCTGCACTGAACTCATTGGTAAAATCTTTGCCTAAACTATGCATAAGTAAGTTTTCCAAGCTTTAAGAGAGCACAGCAGACATAATGCATATGGATTTTCAAAAAGACCATGGCAAGTTTCTACTCTAAAAAAATATTGAACAGGATTGGAAGAAAGTTTTTATAGTCCAAACCATGTTTAAGCAGCAGGGAGTAAAAGCTTTATGGACACTTCTGGATGGAGACAAGTCAGTTAGGTGACCTCAGGAAAGGTATCGGGGCTGGCTTTTTGTTTAGTGTATTCATTAATGACGTGAGGACTGTTTCCAGATCATGCTTTGCACTTCTAGAGAATAGTAACAGACTTTTCACATAACTAAGAGAGAGGACAAGAAGATACCATGCGAACTTCAACAAAGACAAAAGCAGGGACAAGTGATATAAGCCCTGCCTACAAAATGCTAAACTTCAAACTGGCAATCAAATTCAGGACCAAGATCTTGGAGTAATCATGGTCAGGTCTCTGAATTTCTAGCTCAATCTGTAGCGTTAGCCGAAGAGTCAAGAAAACATCAGAGATAACAGGAACAGACATGGAGATAGAACATCCTTTTGTCTCTGTTTAAAACTTACAACAGACATCTTTCTGGCCTCCTCACCTCAAGAAAGACATAGTAGAGCTGGAAAAGGTGAAAAAAAGACAACTGAAATAACTGAGGAGGTAGAATGGCTGTGCTATGACACATGGATGCAAATTCCAGGATTCTCCAACTGGAGAGGACAAGTCATTGATGGCTTATGACTAAGGTCCAGGAAGTCATGAAAGCAGTAGGTGAAAACTATTCAGTAGAGGTGAAAACTATTTAGAAGCTCCAACCACATTTCAATAAGACACCCCACGGCAATTCTGATTGTGACACTAAAGTGAACTTCCCTGTTGAGCAGCTAGATAGTCTTATTATCATTGTAAAAACTGTGTATGAACAGATGACCAGGAATTCACTTTACTAATATTGTCAAAATCTACAATAGGCCTACCCATATTTCATGTGCCAACAGTGAAGCAAAATCACGGGACAGCACCTTGGCATCAGAATGCTGCAGTATTTAAATGCCATACAGGGGTCTTAGCTAAGCTCTTAAGCATCATCTAGCTGTCAGAACACTGTGGGAGGCTAATGGCATGCCAACCTCCAGTGTTCCATTTTTTCTGAAAGCACTAATATAATATCAGCTTGTCCTGAAAAATGACTAGATAGGAGGTTCTTCTGCTGGGTTTATTTTCACCTCTATTTCATTTTTCTTTTGTTATGCACGGGCAATTTTCCTTTTTCAATGATTAGATGAATTTTTTATGACCACTCTCCTCTATGAAAAGCTCGTAAGTACCTGTGCAGCATTTTGAGTGTGGTTTCTTTGTTACTCCTTCTTAGCATCTTTTGTGTGCTTTAGGCAAAGAAAGAAAAATTAAGGGAGAAGACGTTTCATGCAACTCTTTTCATTTCAGGCACATTCAGCTAATATCTGGCATGTTTCTAATTGATTTCTGTAGTCCTGAGTTTTGCCAATCACATTTTTTTGGCATTTCCAAGCCAACAGAGAATTGCTGTTGAAAACAGGTAGGAATAAAATTCAGAAAACAAAGCTATTGTTAGCACAGACATACATCTTTCCATCTAGTTTATTCTTCAGAGATTGTACGACTTCAGAGTCAGATCCTGCTTTCATTTACCTAAGAGGTGTAGTGGCCTCCTTTGTATTTACAACAAAGTCACATTTACACCATTCTGGCCATGTAGACATGATACAAGTATCACTCAGCATGCACATAAACTGGAAAAATTCTGTATCTCCTGCTTTCCTTCCACAATGACCAACCACAATATTCTAGTGACTGTAAATTTTTCAGAAGTTTTTTGGTTGTTCTTCTTTCGGAGAGCTCCAGCAACCCCAGAAAAGGCAGATCAGAGTGTAGGGAAGATAGATTTCTGAATATGGAGAAACAGGAGGGGTTTTTACCTATGTGCATGTGTTATTTCTTTCACTGCATACTAAGTGGTGGCTATATGATACTAGAGTGATACAGTTTTAAAGCCTGAATTTAATTTAGAGATGAATTTTCATAGTTGTTTTGTTCATCTGCATCTGCCATATACAACCCCCAGCAAATAACAGCTGTAAGTAGCAAAAGGTTCCAGGTAGCTGCATGCAAGTCTGTGTGCATCCCTAAGGACTTCTGATGACACAAGCTCTCTACCTTTTAGCATACAATTGCTAAACCAGTTCAAAGGTATATCTGGGACTCTGCATAGCTTTTGTGATTATTCCATGTAAACTTAATATGGTAACTGTTCAAAAAAGCTTTCCACGTATAACACTGAATATGGATCAGAGAGAACTGACCTCTCAGGTAATAAAGCTTATGGTCTATTACTGCACTTTTAAGAATCAGATGCGATTTGTTTTTCAAGTGATTCATCTCCAAAATACAAGTTATTATTTCCAATTAGCTTCAACGAGCAATTAACTATTTTATTAACCTCTGCACTCCTTGAAATGGCAGTCTCTGATGGCCCTTCTAATACACAGGGCTTGTAATGACTCACCAAATTTTTATTTTATGCACTTTTGTGCGTTTAGAACACTTGAAATAGAAACACTTAAATGCTCTTCTTCCCATGTCCCTCTTTAATTCTTCTCTTGAGGAAAGAATTCTCAAATAAAATTATCTTCTACTCAGTTAATTAGATTCTATATAGATACATCAAAATAATCTAGAAACAAAGCACACTCCTGGTTTTTGAAGACTTGGACTACAGGTCATAATCCAACTTGGTATTTCTGTAAAGATAGATTCTTTCTGCATTTTCCATTATTTTTTGTTTCAGAACAATCTCAAGGGATGTATAATTTTCCATTGTGTTCTATCTGCACTGCACTTGAATGATATTCAAAATTCTTCTTCTGGAAGGCACGGGTAATAGGCAACAGAACTACATTTTTTGCCTCTCTATTTGGGCCAACATCTGGAAAAATGGTATTTTTATGGTGCTTGCATTTAATGCTTCTGTGAGTTGAGATTCTTACTATTACTCTATCTTTGTTGCATAGGTGAGCCGCACTTTAACATGATGATTCCTCATGCTGCAAAAACTTTTAGAATTCACCTCCTGCCTAGGCCAGTAGACTTTTCCAAGGTTCTTTTTGCTGGGTCATTACTAAATATAACCACCTACGAGTTTTTGGCTGTATTATAAAAGATCCTCCAAGACAAACCCCAAATCAATTCACTTTCTGACTTTCCCTGCCATAATTCCAAAGAGTCACAAATTATTCTGTCACAAATCTGTATTCAGATTTTCCTGGAGCTCCATTCACAGTTGAGAAATATGTTTATTTTCATGAGCATACCTAAATTCTTTTTTAAAAACTTTTCTCAGATTTCCTTTTCCTTTCTTTTGTTGCTTTCTGACTTGGATCTCCTTTTTCAGCTTAGCAACTCAATTTTGGAAATATTGATTCAAATGTTTAATTTATTAGTGTAAATAGTCACACTGACTTCAGTAAAACAAATATAAATGTGTTCAGGTTTGTGGAACTTTGTGGCATAATGGTATCTTCATAAGAGTTTCTATTCAAAGGGAGTGAGTAAAGATGATATTCTTTGCTTATGAAAATAATCTTAACCTATTCTAGGATTTCCAGCCTTACTAAGAAGTTATCAACAGCTTGGAAGATTCTGGCTACGGAAAACAAAACTGAAGTTCTAAAGGATCCTTTTATAACTGTTGGACAGTCAGGAAAAAAAAAAAAAAAAAAGGAATTAAAAAATGCATTTGAAAAATACAGCGAAGTTGGTGAGCTACTGTTGAATTGCAACTAAATCATCCAGCCTGTAGCAAACATGTATTAGATCTAATTTAGATCTAAGAATTCATGAAGTAATTTTAATAAGTTAAAATTAGGAAGCCAATGCTATTCAACTCCTGTGCAACAAACAAAACTAAAAGATGGAGATGATTCTGACCAGTTTCATATGTGCCCAGCCAAAAACTGTTCCAAGACAATTGCTGTCTTTTTAACTGTAGCATACCTTCAATTTTTCAGATGTGAATGAGTTGCACAGAGTGTAGTTGGACCAAGTCCGATTGCTCTCAGGATGGCGGAACCAGTTTCCAGTTTCATCACAGTATTTTGAAGCTCTTTCTGATGGTAAAGTGCAATAATAATTATGTTAGCTTATTACACATTAAAAACACTTTAAAGAGAATTACTGTTTGGAAATAGAACTCCTGTGTAACAAAATCCAAAGGACTTTCAACTTGTGAGAATAAAATACAGTTTCCTTTGTTTTTTAATTAGAGATTTATCTGACCCCACACTTGTTATTTATCTGTCTCTTGTTGGTCTTGAATGAATGCAATAGAGTATATATACCCAACCTTCACTCAGATGCAATTATTTCCAAGTTAATAATTCAGTTAAAGAGGCTGTTGAAACTTGCTCAAACTGGCAATCCCAGTCAGGTGCCAGTATCCCTCCACAGACACTAATAAATCAAGTCTTGGGGTAGGGTTCCATGTTTTACAGGGAATAATTTAAATATTAGTTAAAGGTGATGTGTAATGAAAGGGCAGCAAGCAGTACATTAACTGGAGCTCAGATACTGGTGTCAATAGTCCCAACATCAGCGGTGTGTCTGTGCAGACATCTGGAAGAGTCTATGCCAGCGGTGGCCAGGATCACTGCTGATTTGCCCCTGATGTTGCAACCATAGAGATAAGCAGGCTCTATGCTTAAATAATCTGATGTGTGTTTGGCTTCTCTATGCAACTCTGTCACAGGTGACTCCAGCACTCCCTGCAGTGCTCACCCAGATCCGTGCTTTGTTGCACGTGTCTTTCTCTTGCAGTAGCAGCACCATTAGGATATCTCAGGGGAGTGTCTGGAAGCAGAAATGTGTGCCATGCAGGCATCCTCCTGGCTGCACCTGCATTTCTGACTCAGAAATCCTAGATGCAGGGGTGCAGACAGTCTCTTCTAATCACCTGTGAAGTCTTGGACTAATTGCTTTGGCTTTCCCCCAAGTGTTAGCCATAGGGGAATCAGTGGAAAACTTGCCCATGTAACAAAAGTGGCTACAATCAGAAGCTTAAATTATTTGATGTTTTCTTAGAAAGGACACAATTGTTTATGTATAAAATTTGCAGCAGTTTAAGTCTGACTTCTTTTGGCAGACTAAGAAGTGTGTCTTGACGTCTCTTTTTCTATTGTAGCTTTATGATTTTATTGACCCTTTGCATAGGTTAGCAGCATTTTCAATCCAAGTACATTTTCAATTTACTTTTAAAGAGCCAATTACCATTTGAACAGACACATTTTCATTTCTTTCGTTCAACATTTGTGTTTCTTTTTCTTAGTCAGATCTGATGATTAATGGCTCTAGTAACTTGGAAGATTCGTATTCCCTCTCTTTACATGCTGAGAAAAGCAGTTGATTGTACTGGCAAGGTAAGTGTTATGTGAACTGAGTTATCTTCCTCTGACTAGACATGCACTTTGTATAGCACTACTGCACAAAGAAGATGATCCTCCAGAACACAGCATACTTTTGAAATTACCGTGAGCTTCAAATCACTGATTTGAGGGACTTTCTGAAAATCAATACGTGCATTAGCAATACAAAGAGGAACAGTACATGCTATCTCAGCCTTCCATCACTGCAGCTTGCAGATAATCTCAGTCTGCCTGTATAGCAATGTTCTCGTTGTACTCTTTGCCAGATATTATCTAAAGCTGGAAAAAGTGTTCAGTCATAGATAAAAGATTAATGGTTACTCTACCATGGAACACAGTGTACAAACATTGTACCTGCTATCCCATATACTGTGCAAAATGAGTGGCTTTTGTTAATATACTATGGAGCATGATGGTAATACCATCTATCATCTCTGCTCTTTAATGCCTAGGTAGGCACGCTGCCTAAGTTTAATGTGACTTTTGTAAGTCAGAGACAAATCTGTTGCTTCATAGTTTTCCTTGAAGCCAGATAAACGCAAGTGATTCTACTTTGCAAGTTGCCACAGCCCACTGATTTCCTGCTGTAATGCTATCAGGAAATGGAACTAGGAGATCAGAATTCCATGACATGGGTTCTGTTATCGGAAAGCACAACTGTGATACACTCACTAAATATGATATGTGTCTTTTCAAAATATTTAATTAAAAATATTAGCTAGATTGATAAAAAATGTGTGGGCTAAAGTTTATGATACAGGGGACAGTTTTTCACATTTCTGCTCACTGCTTTTGGTAGATCATAAACAAAGAGGATCAGGTTAGGCACCTAGGTGTCCCTCACGTATGGTGCCTGTGAGATGCAATGTGTTTAGTCAGTGGGACTGGCTGTTGAAGAATTTTCACAGTGTTTGTCTTAATTTGAAATTTGAAACTTGATATGGGGGCAATTACACTACCTTCATACTGTCCATACCAATAACTTAAACTGGTAGAACATATATTCTGAAACTCTGATTTTACGAAGAAATGAAGCTCTGAGTATGTAATCCAACCACTGCTCTCTACTGCAAGTTCTTCTTTGAGAGCCTAGTATTAGGTGCATGATTGGGAACCTCGGAACATGTTGCATTTCATACTAATCAGAACAATCTGTAGTAAGCCCTGAAAAAGTATTCAAGTGTATAAGGATCAGTAAAACAATATTAGCAAGGGAAAGTGGAAACGTATGCTCTAAGATGATTGAAATACTCCATAAACACAAATTTTTAGGCTCTATCCGTATGTTGTCAGCTTGGATAGGGTACACTATTCAGAATGGAAGAATGGTGGCACTGTGCGGGATTATCTCATCTGACTTCGGCTACCTTAGAGTTAGGCATCTTCTCAAAGGCAGTTGTGCAGGCTCTTTGTAGTCAGCTAAAAAGGACAGACACTTCAAGAGCTGCCTGAGAAAACTGGGTGAGAGAATCCTTGCTACAGTGGCAGCTTCACTGGAATATTGAGGTGTCTAAAAAGATTAACCAATAATAATAGTTTTGCATGTGTTACTGCTTGTGCTAGCAATTGTGCTTTTAGGAATCAAATTCTCATAAAAAGCAACTCAGACATTTAAATGTAACAAATATCTTAACCAGTAACAGTGGAATAAACATGAATACTCTATCAAATAGTCCTTTTACAATTCAACTCTATAGCTAGCAGATGTTAAAAGAGTCTATTCCGATTATTTTTTTTATTGTGGAGTTATACGCTGGAAGTAAAAAGAAGTTTCCCTCTGTTGCAATGCATGCTCAGCACATACCAGACACTGGATTCTTCACCACTATTTTGACTGACCTGTACAGTAGTTAGTTTTGCAGATGATGGAATAGCTGATACTTCTGTAACATGTTACTCCTTACTTACCTCCCCAGTAAAATATTCTAGAAGAAAATTTTTTGAAAATGAAAAATCTGAAAAAATACAATGGAAATCCCAGAAAATTCCAATTCCAGTGTCCTAGAAAGTGGAGAGTTCTCTCTATCATCAAAATGCCTTTTTCTGCAAAACTGGAGTTTTTAGAATAAAGTCAAGTTATGCACTATGGGAATAATAAATGTTTACAACACAGCTGCTGAAATGCTAAGCATGACAGAAATACACAGAAGAGCCGGGGACACCTGCCATGGGCTCCTGTATGTTGCCGCAACAAGGCACTCTGCTGAGTTGCCAGGAGCCCAGGATGGAGTGGTCAATGAGAAGGGAAAGCTGGGACTGGGAAGCTGCTTAGATTAAGGATGCCTGAGGAATGGCATCCCTGCCTGCATGGAGCCACAGCTGAGACCCAGAGGGTCTCTCTCTCTCACTGTTTTGTGGAAGTGATTGCTCATATGCAATGACTAAACCTCTCATCTTGGCATCCAGCTCTACTGGATGCTCTCAGCATTTTGCCAGCTGTGAGAAGGGTGTGCCTGTGTCTATCAGCCCCATTCCCTGTGGTCAAAAGTGTCATAGTAGCTAAATCCAAAAGGATCAGCAAGAACAAACTGATCTGCTCACCCTTCCCCTGCATGGGGGACTTGTCCTGATTACCTTATTTCTTCAAAAATATGTTGTAAGAAAAACAAAATCTTTCACAAACTGTGCTGGAAGTTTGTGAAGGGCACTAGAAGGGCACCAGAAGAGAGCAAGGTAACTCACTTCTACATATTCCTTCTCTCAGAGCCACACGAAGAGTTACAAGTAATGGGTCTAGAAAATGGATCCAAAGTGCAGAACTGAGAGGAGCTCTGCTAAAAGCAGCCTCAGATTGTGGACTCAGCTTCTTCTCCTAACCACTGTATGTTGCCGAGGAGAAAAGGGAGTGAAAAAAAAAACCAGAAGGTAATGCTCTCACAATGTAACTCATCCATCTAGCTGTGCTGCCATACATGGCTGCACCAAATTCATCCTGATCGCAGGCACAGTGCGGAGGCAGGGAGCTGGGTAAAACACAGTGCTCTGCCTCAGACCAGGCTGTGCTCAACACAGGGTGCCAGTCCATCTGATATAGACTGCCATTGCATCCACAATATATTTCCTTTCTGTTTTATTAGCAAGAGTACTACCTTCATGAATTACATACTATATATTCCCATCAAATTTGATTCTTTCAGCTCTTATAAATTTCAGTGTGGCTTGAAGACATTTAATAGGGATTATACCAGATATTATCCTGTGTCAAATATGAGTATAGAGTACTATTCAGGGGAAAATGTGCATGATGTCTGATTCAGGAGTACAAAATCCAGCACTGTCCAGGGCTTCAGTCAGGAGCAGATGAGACAATAAATGTCTTGCTGGCACAGAAGTTAAACCAGTAGGTCTCTGTATGTTGAAACGATTTTTTTTTTTATGCATGTGCTGGTCAGTGTGAGAAAGACTGCTGTAAAAGGCAATTTGTTTACTGAAGAAATAAATAGCTTGTAGAGAGGAATTTATATTAATTAGCTGTCAGATACACCCTTCTTTTCACAGGACAGAGCTTTGTCAGGTGGGAAAAGAAATGTTGGAAGCCCAAGTTAGTGGAGCAAGCTGGATTATCACTATGGTCCTTTGTCTTCTCAAAACACAAATTTCTATCTAGTATGAGCTGAAATATATTCAGTGAAATAAGTGGAATTACATTTGGTTGAATTAGTGGTGAAGTTGTACAAAATGAACTGAGCACTGAGCATGTTGAAGCTCTCTTTCCTTGTCATTCTGCTTCTGTGCCATTTTCTCCAGATTATTATTCCTCCTGATTTATACTCTCTAACAACTTCTTGGCCCCAATACTGAATGCTGTTGGGGTATAGGTACAACAAGCTATTACACAGCACTCAGGTGCAGACAAAAGGAAGATGTGATCCTAGGTTACCAGATAATTGACTTTTTCAGTTACAAATGACATGCACCAAAGTGCTTAAAGAAAGCTGAATGCTACCATTTTATTCCAGGACTCAAGGCTGTGCATGGCCCCATACAGAAACCATGTAGACTTCTGGGGAGTTAATAGACAGCTGTTCTGCAGATATCAGGACATCACTAAGCGGCACAACAGGAAATACTTCTTTCAGAAGCCCATGGGCTTACTACTTGCATGCCTCAAATATATGCTGAAGTGGTCTGATGTCACAGAGCCTTAATGAGAAGGAAATCTGACAGGCACTGTGGTTTTCATCTTATAAAATCACTGTTCTTTGGGATGAATTTTCTGTTTCTCAGCAGAAAATTTAGCCATACCCAACAGACATAAGGTTAGCGAACACAGTAATGACTTGTGACACGAACTTGGTAAGCTTTTCTCAGGACAGCTGAACCTGTGGTTTTGGCCACCTCTGAGTGGCAGCCAGTTTCATTAGCAACTGAAAGATTTCCTCTCCTTCCTGCAGCTTCTTGTCTTCCTCGTACTTTGTTTAGGTCCTGCATGACAGTCAAGCACCTGTATAGGCAGGCTTTGTGCTGGCTTTACTGCAGCTGTAGTACACATGGGGTACCCGGCACACATTATAGGAAAGCAGTTCTGGCTGCACCAGGAGATGCAGAGATGCCTCAGAGGCACAGAAATGCTGCCAGGCAGTGGGGACATCAGCCTAGACGCAGGTGGATGTGCCACCTGGGAGCAGAGGGATGTGCCAAGGGAAAACGCTGACTCTGGGGGACTGTATGTATTGCTCCTGCACAGGAATGCAGATAGATCAGCAGGAAATTGCTGAAGGAGGATTCTGTGGCTTTTTACAGATAACAGAAAGACTAAAAAAATCTCAAACCTGGAAGCTTTTAAGCACAGTGGAAGGAAAAACTGGAGTACACACACAGCATGGGCCAGGCTTTGCAGCACACATTGGTACCTTAAGGAGCCCTTTGCAATCAGTCCAACGAGTCACAGTCCTCAACTTTAATAGACATTAATAAGCAGAGAGAGGTGCTTCAAGGATGGCTTGAAGTGTTACTTTGAAGAGTGTCGCTGGAATTGAGTGATTAGTGCAGAACAAGTTGCTGGAGACAGGCAGGCAAAAATCTGGGAAAAGGTGATTTGTGCAGCAGCTGGAGGGTTGGGTCCATAACCAGCCCTGCTCATGATGGGGTGGGGACCTGGGAACAGTGGGAGGCTGTTGTGCTGTCTTCCACCTGCTTTTACAGGAACATATGGAGTATTCATAAATCAGGATGGTGCCTTTTTTTTTTTCCCCTGTGAAAAATACAGAACTGGGGAAAGCAGAGGACTTGTGGTAAATTGCTCTATTCACCAGAGGGACTGGTAGCATTTGGGGATGATACCATGAACAAAATGCAGGCAGAAACAGAAGATTTGACATTTCTGCAGTGAATGTAGAAAAAAGCACATGCAACCTCAGGATCCTGAACCTTCAGCTCTCACCTGAGCACAAACACTTTTGGGACTTGTAGTTACAGCTGACTGAGAATACTGGGGCATCAAGCACTGCCAATAAGCAGTAAGTCCTGAAAGCTGAGCACACAGCTCTGTCTTCCCTCAAACAATACCCCTTGTGGAGTTTATTTGCATCTAATATTTCTTCATAACTATTCATCAAAATCTCTGCTCTTGATTTTTTCCCTTTTATTTATCTCTTTCAGCATTCTTAATTTACCTCTCTTTGCCCACAGAGGTGCTAGCACTTCCATGAAGAATCCAATGAACAACTGGAACTTTGAAAGAATATCACTTCTGTTCATCTTCCAAAAAATATTTTCCAATAAAACCAGAAGATTCTGATAGATACTTCATGCATATAAGAATACTTTATAATTTTCCCTTGATAGAAAAATCTAGAATAAGGTATTAAAATATGTTGATATCATAACTAAGTTGTTAATATTTCCATATTTTCATAAAAAGGTCCCATAAATCCAGCAGCTATGTTTACGTCAATATAGCACATAAAATATTATACAAATGAAAATACGTAAGTTAGGCAACTCGAAGACTTTACGTATTTTCATTTCAAACAAACTCTGAGATTTCATACTTCCATTCAAGGACATGAATATTCCTTTCAAAGAGAAGGTGATAAAATTAAGTACCGTACCAGTTGGGTCAAAGTCTGGAAAATAATCTGGGCAGTTCTGAGCAGTGATTCTGCCAGCAGGAGTGTCATCCCAGCACAACCAGCCATCCCATGTTCGGTTGCAGAACAGACCTGGATGTTGAAGAGGAATTCAGTAGTCATTTCAGCAGTCAATCCTGAGCCCATTCTGTTCTGACCTCCCAAGGAATATTGCCATCTGCAGACAATAAAGTGGTTTTGCAATGTAAGCCCCTGTTATTGCTACACTTGGAGTGGCATTCAGTTAGTAGAAAGTGCTTGGTTTTGCCAACCAGATGATAGTGGTTTTAATGTTACCAGAAACTACTGTTTTAAAGCCCACTGAATGGAGCTTTGAGTGTAGGGTCTGAACCTACACATTCTTGTTCTTGACAGTTGTAGCAGACAGGACCCTGTAAGTTCTCTTCTGCAGAGGTAGCACTCCTGGCACTGTGTGCCTTGCAGGGATTATCCCCAGACACAAGAAAGACAAAGTGGATGAAAGAGGGAGGCAGAATAGTGCACTTTCTTGCTCCCCATTAGAGAGATGTCATACAAGGGGGTCTGCAGAAATTGCACTATGAGACTGCTTGCGAAAACACAGCTTTCTTGCTCACAGTGGATTCATGCAAATAGCACATCAGGACCAAAAAAAGATAATTCTTGGTTATTTTTCATGCAAAATCGGTTTTCACTGGGGAAAACATATTAACTAACATGAGTGACAGGTTAAAGGGACATACAGTGAGAAGACATACTTTGCCATTTTTTGCTCTGGTCCCAGAGAATTTTCAGAATAGCTGCTATCACCATGTAGGTTGTTTCTGACAGACTTACTTAGAAGGTATTTAATACCCTTGTTCACTTTATTAGCAAGCCTAGTATCAGCTGTTTGCTATCTTTCAGGCATTCTCTGTCTTTGAGACACATTCGAAAGACTTTTAGAAATTGTTTTGTAATACCAAAGAAGAGCAAAAAATGTTTGCAACTTGTATCTGAAAGACACAGCAGAATGAAGCTGATAGGGATTTCAGGCTTTAATTTTAAATCCTTTGCCTTGCCTTATAAAGCAAGGTCCATACAATGTGGAATGTGCCTTTCAAGGTCAGGGATAGGATATATACATACATATGCCCATAAGTATAGATACACATACACCAACATACACACATATATATATGTTTTTGAACTCCCGAAACAACTCAGACAGTCTAAATAATAAACCATAAGAGGCAGATGTGAACAACGTTGCTGAATCACTGACCAGAACAATTACATTTCTGGGGGAGTGTGGGAACGCTGTGCAGGACTGTCAGGCACTCCCTTGTGCTTGAACTGTACATTTCATTACTCCACTGTGGTTTAAACTCATCAATTCTACCTTGAAATGGGCAGGTATACTCAGTAGATGCCTTCAGCTCATATCTTGGGCTTTTCTTCTCTGGAAACACTCCAACGGTTGTCCTTTGCACTAAGGGAATTAACCATCTCATACGATCCTCCCTTTCAAATTATCAGCTAAGAGATCTAGGCATTTGCTCACTTCCATCTGTTTGTGACATACATTTAGTATTTATGAAATATACATGTTGGAGGACTGATGAGGATCCTGTAATTGAGTTGCGACTCAGAGAAACAAATCCACAGTGAAAAACACAGCTTCAGTAGCATTGGCCTTTTTCTCTGTTCACTTATTATCTTCAGTCTGAGTTACAAATGCATTAAATGCACGTTGCTAAGAACACGACACTCCCCAGTGGCTCCGTTGAAACCCAGCTGTCAGCTGAAGGAGAGCAGAAACTGCTGAGCTGTGTCAGATGGCTGCTGGTCTGCTGCTGCTGTCCTCCTGGACAGTCCTGCCCAGGAGAAACCACCAGGATGACATCATATGAAACAAGAATCACTTCATGCTGGGCAAACACTTCAGCCCTTTGCAACAAATTACATGTGAAAGGGGTAAAAAATCAAAAAAAGAAAAGAAAGAAAGGGAATAGATGAGAACTATCAATTAATGCAAAAATTACATTTTATAGAGCTGGAGACTAAACGAGTAATGTGTGCAGAGAATAGCACAGCAGCTAAAGGCTTGTTTATGTCTGAAACATGACAGTTTTTGTTGCTCCTTTTAAATACTTGCATGTTGGTTTTTTGTTTGTTTGTTTGTTTCTCCCATTATTGGCCTAATTGAAAACTTATTTGAATCAAAGGGTTCTACATTGTACATTTCTACATTCATTCCAAAACAATTCTGCATCAAGGCCTGAATATCTTAACATCTAGTCACTGACTCTTACAGACAGCAATAAAATCTGATGAAGAGTTACAGAAATGCCTTTGTGCTTATACTGAAGAAAACCTCACCAACATATTATCTCCACTTCATTAACTGCATTGTTTGCTTTTTTTTTTTCTAATATAACTTCTCTTAAACAGTGCCTCCATTCCCCGTGTTCTTAGGGACATGGGCTAGTGGGCAGTGTGGTGATGGGTTGACAGTCTATCTCAGAGGTCTTTTCCACCCTTATTGATTCAACGATTCTATGACTTTATGATTCTTTACTTGCACAAATTTCCAGTATGCCTCAAATATTTTTTCTTTAGCTTCTTCATAGCTTCTTCCTTATTTTTTATTGAAGAAATGACCAAAAGAGAACCCTCAGTCCCAGCCTGATAGGCTTCTTCATTCACTGCATGCCGTTGTTGCACCACTATTATTTGTCATTTCTTTTTCCTTTTTATTAATCTTAACATGTGTCTCCTGTTCAGTAATGACCTGTCCTCAGTGCTTTACAAACCTCTTTTTACTAATGTTACTGTTGAATACAGAAGACCAGGAACACTTGTGCTGATACACAGCATGACAGTTCTCAATTCAGGACAGACAGAAAAGCAAAACAAATGAGCAAGACTGGCATTTATATTTAAGATATTACTGTTCACAGTCACATCTTTGTGTAATAGTACCAAAAAATACTGCACCGACAGTTCTGGAAAACTTAACTGTCTAAGGAAGAGAACAGAAATTCAAGCAGCAAAGCCCTGAGCCAGCAATGCACTTCACCTACATGACACAGGTACCATCTGCATGGAAAGGGAGGAATAGCTGCTCATTCCCTGGGCTCGCTCTAGCCTTTCTTCTTTCTTAGCATCTCAGAGGACAGTAAGTTAGTGTGAATCTGACTGCTGCTTACCGGAAGGCAGCTGCATCCCAAGGAAAAATATAGGTTAGTATAGAGAACAAAATGCTTCTTTTGTAGTGATATACACAAGCATGGTAATATACAAACAGAACTTTTTTATCTTCTTTACCTTTTTTCCTATATGGAGGAGCTCTGTTCATCCTCTCATAGCATTTGAACTGCGAATCTATTATCTTCTGTCGTATGACTGAATTTTCAGTTACTACAGGCTCTAATGTAGGATCAGTATAATTTACAGTAGCAGTAAGACTTGGAACCACTCTCTGTACAGAAAGGAAAAACTGTTAGTGACACTGAATAAACCAGCAAGATTTAAAAAAATTACAAAAGTTCAGAAATCTTCATTACGCATTCCTCAAAGGCCTTTTACTTGCGTATTTTGCATTATGATAGACCTTATTACTTTCAAAGTAAGTGCTGAATTTCAGCTAAGTTTACTTCACTATAAACTCAGGATTTTAACCTAGCCCTTTTTCCTGGCAAAAGAAAGAACCATTAAATACTAGATAAAGTCTTTAAAATCTTTCCATTTAGATTAGTGATCTGCAAAAAAAATTTGTACATATCTGCACAATGTTGCACCCATGTACTTCTTCCCACTTGTGCTGATTTCTCTATAGATTACCCAGTCAGTACCACAGGCTGGAAACCTTATTATTTCATGTTTTCTGCTTTCTGCTTTGAGCTCCTTCAACTTTTAGGGCCAGAGTAAAGGGTTTAAACCTCACAACCTGAGCTTAGTTCCTAATTAAGTGCCTAAGCAAAGTACCCCCAAATCTGAGAGTCTGAATGAAAAGTCCTCTTTGATCAAGTGGCCTTTTCTGAAGGATTCCACTCTAAGCTGCTTGAAGGGCACACAGAAGGACCACTGCCTATGGAAGGCCAAGAGCTCAGGCAGAAAGGTCAGTTGTTCTCTTTCCATCCACCCCTCTGTTGCACAGCCTCTGTGAGTCAGGGAGGAAATGAGTGTATGGAGCTCCAGTTAAAGCTCTTTTGCCTTAATTCTGTATCAGGACACTTCTCTGTGGGAAGGTGATAGGAAAGGGTTATTTCTTCTGATTCCCCAAGTAAAAGCAATACAACTATGGCACTTTCTTTGCATGGCTATTTTTTTTTACCTGCAAAGCTATACTTAAGCCACTGCAAGTACATACAGAGTTATTTAAAGTCTCCTTCAAAACTGAGAACTCCCATAAGCCTTGAAGTTCTTGGGGATCTTTCTTATTCAAAGCCTGCATTTCTCTAGACAAGCCATACAGGTAATGTTACTAACATTAATACTTTTAACAGTATTTTCTCCATAGTAAAGAGTAAGTTTAGGACTTTTAGGAGCATGCTTCAGATTATATTGATCACCTCCCATGCACATTCGAGCCTATGAGATTCACATTACCACTAAATGCTTATTCAAAGATTGTTAAGCAGGCATTTAGAGCTGTACAATCAAAAACCATGACAGGTTTGAAAGTTCAAACATGAAGTGAATTTTTAAACTACTCTTTCCCTTTTTTCTTACTGCACATTGCAAACAGCTGTATCTCATTAACACTTTGCTTTCTTTTCCATCTGCACAGACAAAGCAGCTCATTAAAATACATAGCAAAACAGAGTATGTGAAAATATGTCATTACTTTATGTAGATATGTCTGTGCTGAAACATCTCAGATTCATCTTTTTATATCATCTTCTTCTCCCTAACCAATTTTGTTCTAATTTAATTGCTTTTTCCCAATTTAATCTAATCCTTTTTCCTGCTGAGATTTTATTTTTGAACTTCATATAGCTACTATTTGAAGACTGGAATACACTGAAGGCACTTAATCTCACTGCACGTAACATGAAATTTTAACTTGAAATAAAATGACAGAAAAAAGATGAAAGATATTTTTGGTAGATATAACTCTATATGAATTTTGTGTGTAAATATATATATATACATGCATGAATAGATATGCATGGACAGTGAAGGCATTTGGAAGATTTCGTCTGGCCACTTAAACGAAAAAATTAAGCTTCTAAAAGGCCAGAATAGAAAATACAGAAGCAAACCCCACTATATTTGGGTTCCCTCCTTTATGAAAAGATTAAAGGAGTAGATGGTGTCCAAGGGGATCATTTAAAAAGCAAACCAGCAATGTTGCAGATATCACGGGAAAAAAAAAAAAAAAACAGATGAAGTTTTCCAGCAGTCTTCAGGTCTGTTTTTGCCCTTCCTGTCTGTGCATCACCATAGGCTTCAGTACTTCCCTGAAGTGAATCATAGAAACTCCAGATTTATTTTTTCCCCATTCTTATTTTGAATAATACCTCAGTTCCAAGCTGTTTGCATTTGAGAGAGGAACAGCAGAGTCAAAGACAAGCTGGGGATTCCCATATCGCTACCTCTGCTCTCAACAATTCCTCTGTCACTGGGGGCCAATCTGGGAAAGCACTCATGTTTTGAAAGCATAACCATCTGATAATGCTTGGAAACCATCACCACTTTTCTTTCACTTGAAACAATGTTTTATCTGACTTTTGTTTTGTTTTGGAAGGAGATGGTCTGTTCTTCAGCTTGTTTGACCAAACAAGACCAATTCACACTAACAGTACAACCAGAAAGACTGAAGTTGCTGATCATAAATTGCAATTTCCCTTGCTTTATCTGTACAGAGTAAAGCACAACAGAACTGTATGATAATTGGCAAATGCCAGCTACACAGATAGAAACTGTAAATACTTTTTAAGTGCATTGAAACATCCTTCCCTTCTTTTAAGTTGTTTTGGTTCATTATTATCCACCATTCTTGAAAGGACAGATTTTTCCCAAGATTGTACAGTACAAAAACATATAAACTGAAATTAAAAGAGATGCCATCAGAAAAGAAATGCTCCATTCCCGTCTTTCAACAGGTGAAGATGTAACAGTTTGTAACCAGGGTTGAAATTTTTGGGGATGAGGTACAAGAGAGCAAAAAACCTCTCTCTTCAAAGTCAGTTTCATAATTTGCTGCATGTAAGGGATGAGTCTACTTCCTGAAGTAGACAGCTCTTATTAGGTATAGATTAATGAGAATAATACTTGGAAGCAGAGTTCCTGTGGTGGTAGATAGGATGAACGTTTTGGATTGTGCACTAAATTATTTAAAGTGCTCAAACTTGTAACCATTCTGCTACCTTTGAGCAAGGCAATCATGCTACAGTTGAAATTGTGAGAAAAATCCCTATTACCCACATTTGGTCCAGGAATTCACTTAGAGAGATTAAAAAGATAGATGAGAATATGTCAGAAAAGCTCAATGAAAATAGTTTCTTCATCGGGGGAAATATTTTAATGGCCAACAGTAAAAATAAAGCAACTTCGGATAAAGACTGGAATATTAATGTTAGGTTACATCAGTCTCATACATTTATCTCATTTTTTACTTATGAAATCTGAAGAATCAGATTTTGAGTTAGTCACACACACATTTCCAGGCACCTTTGATGTAATTGTAAAAGCTTGAATGTGAAATCAAATTACAGAGTTATGCGTAGGTGTGTTACTGGTATTGTTCATCTGTGATGTGCCTAAAATACACACACTCTTCCATTTGATTACTCATTTCTTTTTGCCTGGATTTGAAAAGCCAGCCATGGAATTTTGAACAATATTTTATTCTGCCTTGAAACAAATGATCATTTCTGCTGACTAACAACAAATAAATCTGATGGCTTGAAAGAGGGTGAGCAATTAAACCTCTGTTTACTCCCACGCACAAAAGAATTGTGCATCCACCAACATTCTGATACATGGAGCCTAGTGCCTGCTCACCCCAAAGCCATGGGCAGAACTCCCACTCAGTTCAGTGGGATGGTGATCCAGCCACATACTGGGGATCAATCATACAAAGATCTTACCACAGTTTGATGTTGGATATCATTATTAACTTATTCTTTCTGTGCTCCTTACCTTTAGGATGAGGAAAAGGTAAATGAGCAGAAAGAAATCTCTGGGTTGCTATGCTGTTATCAAAGGTAGAAGAGGCCTGGGCATGGCTACATGCGGGGAAAGCTTCACCTGAATAGTGCCTACGGTATGGAATAAATGTTGGATGTTTGGAGTCCATTACTGCAAGTTAAAAACCCTTCCCATCTATCCATCAGTTACTTCAGATGGAAGTATAAATGATATTGATACAATAAAGGAATGGTTCATCCATTTACAAATATTCTTTATTAAAGAGAAATCAGTATTTCACAACTTAATGAGCTGAATGTGTCGACAGCCTGAAAATGATTGTTTATGATTTCTTCAGAAGAAAAATGCTTAAGTGATGTCCCATGCAGCAGTTTAGCAGCCGTACATATGATGTCACTCCTAAAAGTCCAAGTAAATGACGTCATACATACGACCACCAAGCCACCACGTGACGAATGACTGTCATAAGAAAATGAATTATCATAACAAAGAAAAAGAACAGGCTGCTGGGAATGCTGAAGTTCACTTTAAACCTAGAATGGACAAAGTAATCTAGAGAAACAACTTGGATTTGTTATTAAACTATATTAAGATTAGTAAATCGTGCACCAGTTTCTGTAAGACAGACACCTGCTATTAACCTCTGCTAGACTATGCCTATTTCTGAAACACAAAATCCAAATAAAGCAAGCATAAAATTCACCTTTTTTTCCACAAAATACTGGATGCAATGAACAGGCATTCCCAAATACTTTTCTTCCACCATCAAGGAGCTAGACTAAACATGACTTTTGAAAATAAAGTATCTGCAGCTTTCTTTCCTTTTGATTTTCCCCCAGATCTTCTTTGAGCTCAGTCAAAATGTATTTCAGAATCTGGATGCTACGACTGCTTATTATTGATTTTGATAGCTCAAAAATATATTTGATGCATTTCTTTTAAAACTGCTCAGTTTAGTCACCTCTTAGTGGGTGACTTAACTCTTGTTCTTTGACACACCACATCTTCAAGCAAGAGCTCAGCATGACTCAGCCTCGTTGCAGAGCTCCTGTTGTACCTTGATTGTGTTTGAGAGACTTTTCACAGCCACCAGTGTCAGAACAGAGAAGAAAACCACTGTGATGCCTTAGGAAGGTCAATAACAGAAGGTACTCAGTAAACATAACGATGATTGCTTATTCATTACGAAGGTACTTAGAAACAGCAGACAACAACTTCTTGGGGGAAATACCTCAACATGACATGTTTTACTGAACCATCGAATGTTAAAAATTTCCCGTATTCAATTGCTGTTGAAGCAGGATGAAAACATCTTATAATTATATCCCATATAACTTACATTGCAGATTTTGGAGGCTATGTAGACGAGCAAAAGATTATCACCCACAGTAGATGAATACAAGGCACTTTGAATGGAAAGCAACTTGTAACCCTCTCTTACAGTTCTTTTCCATTGCTGCAGTCAGTACTTGCTCACATGAGGAAGCTTTACTCTCAGGACAGACTGATGCAGACCGTGAGCATAGAGCAAGGCTGCAGAATGCTTCAGGGATTTTGAATGCAGCTCTAATTAATCACCTTGCAAGAGACCTCTTTAGAGCAATCAGCTGCATGGCAACAATCTTATTATGTTAAAAAGCAAAAATGGAGACAAAAATGTCTGGCTCACCCTGAAACCTTTGGTGAATGCAATCCCTTCCTGAAAAGTTGCATGCAGATAGTGCCTGAAATGCTCGAAATAACCTACAGTAAGTCTTTATCATCAGCATTGTACCTCCCCAAATATTCGTTACATGAGAAGAGCTCTGGAATTTGCAAGTCCTTACAGCTTGAAGCAACTCACGCAAAGGAAAATACACCTTTCCCTATGCTTTGTCAGCACCTCTCCTGGCCCCCCAAAGGCCAGTACCTTCTCTACACTAGATGTTAGAGGAACCACTGTTTTTTGCAGGAAAGTCTTATGCAGAACAGGAGCAGGCTCTGGCCCCCCTGTGCAGTGTATCACACCTGTAGCTGTGGGAGACAGCCGGCTGTGGCACCTCACTGCTGTGTATCACTGTGGCAAGAGTGAGATGCTTGCACAATGAGCCATGCCCTCCTCACAGTAGTAAATATATTTCTAAGTGGCTTCTGGAGACTCAAACCTACTATAGTTGTGTTCCAAAATATGCCAGTTTTTGTACTTACCTAAATCACACTCAGGTTTTCACATGATTAATTTTCTATGTTTTATGAACTGCAATTATTCACAAGCCTTTCAGGATCTGACACAGTGTATCAGACTGTGAATAGCTCAGTGATTGAGATTTGGTAACAATTTGACAGGTCTGGACTTAATAAACTGTACAATTTGGTTTTTTTACTCAAAATGAAATTGTTTTAAAATATAGTCTTGGTCAAAGGGATTTAATTGAATAATGGTGTGGTCTGAAGCTGCAGCATTTGTTTTGTCCTTACTGAGCACTCTGTGGTTGGCTCAGGACAACAAAATTGCAATATATGAGCAAAAACTACTCCATCCGTCCTCATTTACAGGGCAAGAGCAAATTACCATCTGCAGGCACAAAAGGAGAATTTTTACTTGACAAAGTGAGGTAGAAAATACAATTCTCTTATCTCAATGTCCTGCAAAATTGATCAGTCACACAGGAAAAAGACCCAAGCTTGTTTCCTCCTCCCTCTCATTTTCAGCAGTCTGATCTCCCTGGACACACTGTTCCAATGCTCACCCTTCTTGTGGAGAGAAATGTGCATGAAGGAGACGGTCTAATTCTGCCAGCACATGGGGACTGAGGAACTTGAAACAAATTTCAGTTACACTCCGGGGTTCTCAGTAATTACTGAAAAATAGGAGTATCAGGAATAAGGTGAAATAAGAAACATTCCCTGAGAAGAACAATTAGAATTTCTAAAGGAATGCCCTCCGAATTGCAAAGGAATATCTGTTGATGGTGGAAGAATGGCTATTATTCTGCATCCAAAAGCAAGGGGAGCAGTCAGAGAGACAATAAGAAATGAGCTTTGCTTCTAATAATTGAGTCTTGGAGTCAGGTGCTTTAAACAGTTTGTGTTTAGTATTTTTTTAGTAATTTTAGTCATTACTATGGATCTATACACAAAGGAGTAGAGTGCTGGGTGATCTATGTAGAAATGATACATTTTCTATCAGAAGGTACCAAAACCACTTGGGACAGGTCTGAAGGCTGGAAACTGTGGGGAGGAGGACCTATGGAGTACTTGTAATTGGGGTCTAGGACCAAGCATGCAAGGAGGGATATGGGACTGGCACTGGGAACCCAGGAGCAATTAGAAAATCTTGCAGAATGGGAATGGCGTTTCTGGAAGAGAAAGAAGGACACCCTTTCCTTATGACAGACCACGAATAAAATGTAAAACTTGTATTTTTCCACCAACTTCAGGTGGAAAAATTTTTGGAAAGATGACCCTTGCCAAATATTTTCCATATTTGAATTAACAGCAGTGTTCTGGCAAGTACTATCAAGAAAATAGAGCTTGTTCACAGTCCTCATCTACGACTGTGGCTTCTCCCTTACCAGAAGATAAATTAAGAGGTGTCTAACAAGATAATAGTATGGCCACCACAGTGGAAAAGGATGGAATGCTGAGATTGGAGCAGTGAAAATGTAAGTAAATTTGTGCTTAAGTTACACATACAGAGACCTCTAGTGCAAAGATATGTAAAAGGAAGGAGATGCAGATTTTACTGCAGAGCTTCCTAAATATGTCCTAGCCCTGGGCTACTGCTGTAAGGAGGACAGAACCAATGCTGCACATGTGATACCATAGGTGAGAGATCTAATTTAGAGAGAGGATCAGCCAAATCTTTCAAGACTGTCCTCCAAATATATGCTGTAAGACGGAACACTCCAAACACTCAGTAAGGGCTGTTGACAATTTTAGTTAACAGAATATTTACAGTCCTGTCATTTGATTGTGGAAGAAAAATAATCTGGGACTGTTCTTCCAGTTGGCTTTGATTTCTTACAGGAAGACTTGCTGTTCTTTGCCAAGGCTCCTGTTATGTTATGCAGGTCAGTCGGGATTATTCAAGCACAGAAAATATCTGGTCTCAGATGGGTCCTTTGGCTTTGAGAGATCTCTTAACATGCATGATGTTCCAGCCAGCACAGCTCTACGTGCACCACTCACAGGGCTATGTATAACAGACACATAATGCCACAAAAACCAGTATACTCTGATACATATCAAGGCAGATTTTTGCCAAGCACAGGGATAATCATCAAATCATTAACTAATTCTGGATTAATTATTTTTGAAACCAAGCTAGCAGAAAAATGTTGTCTCCTCTGTTCATTCTCTTGCTCTCCAGCTCATCTTTGTTTGAAGTCCCTGATACTGAAATATGAATTCAGTATTTTACCCAAGTAAGGCATTCTTTGCTATTCTTCTGCATTCTTCATGATCTCATTTCATTGTTTTATTCCACCATTCTCTTACTGTTCTTGGCTTCCCTACCCTATTTTTTCTCCATGTTAATTTAAGTGGAAAACAGCACAGTGGGCAAGTTATGCTAGGCTGAAACAAACAAAACAGGGAGAGAGGTCTCTGCCATTCCCCAGAGTGTCCTATAGCCCCATTTCTACAATTTGTAACCAGAAAGGGTGTGAGCTGATGGGGAGACACACAGCAACATTCCATATTCATTCCACATGAATGGAAGAAAAGCTGAGAAACAGAGGGGTCTGAAGAGCTAACCAACAAGATACCATCAAGAGTAATAAAAATCGAAGGTTTCATCAGGAATACAGAGACAAATATATCTTTGAGGAATAAGGTAGCATCAGGCATACAAGTTACTCAGACACCGAGGCAAAGAGATGCTCATTCCCAGCAGCATCATTCAGACATATGACTGCTGTGTTACTGGGGATTTGGATAGTGTCCACATTTCTGAGTATCTGCAATGTCTTTGATTTTAATCATCTAATCATTTGAGGTTCCACAAGTAAACCTCAAAGAAACCATTCAACTTACATGAGAGGTATTTAGTCAAGTAGAAATTCATTTGCTACATAGTTAGAAAAATAGTTACCCAGCCATGTTGCTGTTGAATATATTGGAGTAACAGAAATATTGAGATCAAACAGTTGGAAGTAGTGTTTGAACTTGACAATTAATCTTTATAGTGATATTTGCCATTTCTGTTGCTTTCCTAAGACCAGAGCCAACATAAACAGTGAAGATTCACAATCACTTAAATCAAAGTCTCACACAACGTTTAGGAAGTTTTCAACTAGTAAGTTTCAAAATCCAGTCAAAAAAACACAGGCATTACCATCTTCAGACTTGCAGTTTTGTCTCACTGGGGAACGGTAGTTTCAAGTTCAAACTTTCATAAGATATCTTATTCAGAAACTTTATTAACCTTATTTCAAAGTTCTATCAGTAAGGGAACTCATTTCTTCACCTGTGCTGTATAACAAATATAACTCCTTATTTTTCCGAACATTACCACAAGTTTGAATCTGGCAGGTGTCATTCATTTGTCTTATACTTACAATAAGAAAGATAATCAGTAAGAAGCAACTGTGGGTAGTTTTTTTCATTGTGAAGTCTTCCTGCAGAAACACGTTGTAGATGATTCTTCTGGGAATTAAACAGCAAAAACAAAACCAGGATTAGATTTTGTTACAATAAATTCCTATCTTTGTGTACAGGCATCTTTGTAGACTTCAAGTGCATTCTGCATGTTTGTGTGCCTTCATCCTTCTGTGTGCTGATGTTTGAATTCACTGGAGACAGATACGCTTTTATTTCAGCCTCCCCTATGGATGCTAAAGTCAGCGGGCATGAATTACTGCTCCATATTACTACATGACCAGCAGTGTATCCACATCAAACTGCCTCTCTGCCTGCAGAGCTGACTTTGGTTGTCCTGATTCTGCTGCTTCTAATCTCCAAATGTCTGCAGACCCATGAAGAACCTGCATATTTTTTAAAATTACCCCCAAAAAAGAATGATCTGGTGCAATGATAGGCCACTCAAAAAGCATATTTATTGAGTGAGAGAAAGCCAGAGGATGAGTAACCACTAGGTAGGTTACCACAGAACTCAGTGTGGCAGGAAAAGAGGCAAACTGGAAGCTCTTTAGGTTAGACCTCCTGGCAAAGGAGCAAGACTGTGGGATTTCACAATGCAAAATGCAGCTAGCTTGCCTGGTCTGTGTGATTGAAGACAGACACGTGGCAGTGACTCTCCACCATTGAGAACTGCCACTGCACAAAGTGCTAGAGAAGCACAGCATGGCCATACCTCCAAGGGCTTGAAGGGAACTGGACCAGAAGCTTTCTGCTTTTCTTTGTCTCTTTTAAGTCATCACCCATCCAGCCTTTGACCACACCTTCATTTCTGAGGCATCTAAAAAATGGAGTGAGCACACTACCTGAGCACCAGGCATACCCAAACCCTAAGAATTTAATGGGAAAAGGGCACAAAGACTTTGAGGCTTAGCTTACAGTATGTGTAGTGAGCAAAACAATCCTCTGTGCAACTCTTGTTTCTGCCACAGCACTGTAGCAGCTCTTCTCTACTTGAAGTGGTTTGGAATGCCACCCATTACAGAGAGGAAATAAAACAGTTGTATTTGTCCTCATCTAAAGGAGAAATAATTTCAAAATGTAAGAAAGGAGTGGCACTTCTACTGCAATCTAATGCACTTGTATGTAATATCCCATGAATGGGAGTGTTTCATGTGCCACTGAGGTTACATAAAACATGGAATGATGAAAAAGAGGACTCAGAAAAAATGCCTCTGTTAAGAAGTAGCCTTATTACTGCCAGAGCCTTTCCAGAAGCATTCTGGTGTGCCAGAGGTAATGGGACAGGCAAATGACACAGAAATAACATATAATTATGCTGTCAGCCACATATTTGTATTTGATCAGCAATGATAGATAACTGAATTGAAGCAAAAATTGGTCAGCTAGATCTGAGGAAAATGTCTGGAATTGTTTCCATCTTCTGTATACTATTCCCCGCAGTGTATATTGGTTCAAAACTGCCAAAAAATATATGAGCATATAAATAATAGGTCTTGATCAGCTGCCCAGTGAGCAGATATATATACATAAATGTGTCCATACAATGATGCACAGTACTGTGAAGTGTTCTGTAGTGTGATGTAAAGCCAGTTGTCTTAGGCATTCCCTCACTAGCCTCCTCTGCTGCATTTACAGGGATGTGCTAAAAAATAGGCAAAATAACTTTGTCCTACAAGCTGTTGACAGTCTTGCAACACACTACTTGCCACAAATGGCAGAGCGATGAATTGTGATCTAGAAAGAGCAGGCAAAATCAATAGCAAACCCGCAATGCATGTGATCTCCTGCACTTAGTGTTAAAAGTGTTTACAGCATTATGTTGGATTAAAGCTGCAACTGCATGCAAATTTTAGTCAAGTGAGATTTCGTGAATGTTTGCTACTATGTATTGGAGAAGCTATTTAAAATACTTCTTGCTCCATGTCTCCCAGTTAAAAAAACCATCCGTAAAATATTGAAGACATTATTTTTTCCCTCTGTTAACTGTGATGCCTGTGCCGTATGATACTACATACGAGTAAATGAGTAAGAATTATTCTGTGTACTAAATCTTACATAATTTTGATATTTCTAGTCTTTCTTCTTCTAGCCAGCTCTAACCACAGGAATGGCTGACGTGCTTGAAGTCCAGTACCTGCTTTTTTCTTCCTCTTTCACCAGAGTCTTCTCCAGGGCCAACAATTTTAACAGGCTTTAACAATGCTGCTATAAAGTCCCTGACTAAGAAGCAGCTTTTCTCTAACCTCAAGAATGACCTGCAGCACTACATGCGTGGGTTACCGGATCAAGGACAACGAGCATCTTGAAATGTAAAGACGTGCAGGTAAAAAGCGTTAATCAAGGGACAGATCAGGAATAATGTGGAGATAGAAAGATTCTCAGGAAGGGGAGCCCCAAAGGATGGATCATCAGCCTCTGGACAGAGGTTTGGACCTGCATCATCGCAGCTCTGTCCAATTGATTCAGGGTGATACAACAGGTAAACTGGGATGTGCAAAGTGGTATTTTCAAGTTTGGGACTGCTGTGCTAAAAACACTACTTGCACTTCTGCCGTCAACCATGTTCTTGCTGAAAAGGAGGCTGGAAAGCCCCAAGCAGCCAGAAATACTGCATAGCTGGATCTGGATGTGTGCTATCATTATCTATGATGTTGTCTCTGGCTGGGTGGATAGGGGGAGAACAGTGGATGTAGTCTACCTTGATTTCAGCAAGGCATTTGATACTGTCCCCCACGACATCCTTATAACAAAGCTGAGGAAGTGTGGGATAGATGAGTGGACAGTGAGGTGGGTTGAGAACTGGCTGACTGGCAGAGCACAGAGGGTCATTGTTGGTGGTGCAGAGTCCGATTGGAGGCCTGTAACCAGCGGTGTTCCTCAGGGGTCTGTGCTGAGTCCAGTCTTGTTCAACATCTTCATCAATGACCTTGATGAGGGGATAGTGGCCACCCTCAGCAAGTTTGCTGATGATACGAAGTTGGGAGGATTGGCTGACACGCCTGAAGGCTGTGTTGCCATTCAGCAAGACCTGGACAGGCTGGAGAGCTGGGCAGAAAAAAACCGGATGAGGTTTAGCAAAAGCAAGTGTAGAGTCTTGCATCTGGGGAGGAATAATTCCATGCACCAGTACAGGTTGGGGGATGACCTGCTGAAGGGGAGCTCTGCAGAAAGGGGCCTGGGTGTCCTGGTGGATGACAGGCTGGCCATGAGTCAGCAGTGTGCCCTTGTGGCCAAAAAGGCCAATGGCATCCTGGGGTGCATTAAAAAGAGCGTGTCCAGCAGGTCAAAGGAGGTGATCCTCCCCCTCTACTCTGCCCTGGTAAGACCTCATCTGGAGTACTGCATCCAGTTCTGGGCTCCCCAGTACAAAGAAGACAGGGATCTCTTGGAAAGAGTCCAGTGGAGGGCCACAAAGATGGTGAAGGGCCTGGAGCATCTCTCCTATGAGGAAAGGCTGAGTGAACTGGGTCTGTTTACCTTAAGAAAAGAAGACTGAGAGGGGACCTGATCCAGGTCTATAAATATCTAAGGTGTGGGGGGCCAAGTGGTGAGGCCAGACTCTTTTCAGCAGTGTGTGGAGGCAGGACAAGGGGAAATGGCCAGAAACTGCAGCATAGGAAGTTCTGCACGAATGTGTGCAAGAACTTCTTTACAGTGAGGGTGACGGAGCACTGGAACAGGCTGCCCAGGGAGGTGGTGGAGTCTCCTTCTCTGGAGATGTTCAAGACCTGCCTGGATGCCTACCTGTGCGACTTGCTGTAGGGAACCTGCTTTGGCAGGGGGGTTGGACTCGATCTCTGGAGGTCCCTTCCAACCCCTACAATTCTGTGATTCTGTGATTCTGTGATTAGCACAGAAAGGAACTTGATCAGTAGCATATACTAATGTCATGACTCAATCACACACAGGCTTTGGTGACAGTACCTGCAGAAGGAGTCCTTCCTTTGCCTTATTCTAGCTGCTCATTGCCACCTGACTAGTGCTACTGTCACAGCCATTTAATCTTTCAAAATGATTGGTGCATAGGCACTTCAGATGATTCTTCAATGCAGATATTTCAAGGTATGTACAAGGTTTTCCTGAGATCATGCATACAGCAATGAACACAAGCAATTATAGACGATGTACCAATAGCTATTTGGATCACTGGAGCTAATATAAGAATGATTATTATGAGGATTTAATATTGCAAATTTTGTTTCATTTGCTGAAGTTCTCAAGCAGATTTTTAGTTCTGACTTGATTCATGTTCTTCTACTGTTTATCATTTTTTTTTTGTAAAGTTCAGCAATGTCCTTGCTTGATGTTAAGATAACATGATGTGCTTCATACATTTAAGTTTTAAAACATTCATATTTAGTCATATTTAATCATATGCACATGGTTAAAGCCCAGTATTTTTCCATGGTTGTTCTAATTCTTCATCATCTGTTGCTTATAATAGTTCTGTACGAAATCCCAGTCTGTTTTTTAAACTAGAATATTGTTCTGTATTTCTCTGTTAATGTAGCATAGCATTATGTACTAAGATATTCCACTCATTTCAGCTATTACAGTAATACCATGGGTACCTTGGGATTAGTTCTGAAGCTCATCTGAGGAACAGCACAACATCGGTAGTGTCATCTCTTTTGTCATCTCTATTCTGACTATTACAGTTTTAATACTAAATTGAACAGGGCTATAATTGCAATTACCATTGGGTTATGCAAAGATGGGACTACCTTATCCACTCAGTCATTTGCACAAGTGGCCTAACATGGCCAACAAGGAGGGCCAGGAAAAGGTGTAAGAGTGAAGATTCAAGAGAGGGCAGTAGATCAGCATTGACTTGCTGCAGACCAAAAAAACAATAAGAAAGAAAGGCTTTTGGGAGGAATAATGAGATAAACTTCTCATTTAATTATTCCGCTCTGATTATTCTGCAATGTCATATTTCACAATAGTGCTCACATATCTTTGGAGGAAGATTTTAACAACACAGTACAAGACTAGTAGGATTTGT